TGAAACTATTTAATATTTTAATAATAAAATTCAATGGGAATAAAGACATTGGTCCATTTAGTCAAATGGAGGTAAACAAATGTAAGGGAAGTAATTTGCTCAGTTTTGATTTGAACCTTTTCAAGCTAATGTACAAATTTAACTAAAATGTCAGGTTTCATTTTCCTCAATATATTTAAGTTTTAAAGAATTTAATTATATTGTTAATTATAGGCTGAAATAATTGCCACATTGTTGTATGTTCAAATCATTATTTTGTGTAAGAGACAGAGATTCAAAACCCATGACACTTCATTTAAATTTTATATAAAACTAATCATAAATTCACTCAAAGGGAAAACAAGAGGCTTTACTTGATATTAACACATTAAAATCTACATTTTCATTTCAACTTCAAGTGATGTTATTTAGTATTGAACTTGTTCAAAGAATATTATCATATGTGGGTTGTTTTCATATTGTTCATCACTACTAACTTTTATTAGAAAAATAAAAATAATCTATTATTGAATTATGTAGAGCTTTCATAAGTACAAAACAGTTCCATAAACTCATCAGCAAAACAACTGGCTTACATATACAGAGCCTTAACATTCTGAAACAAGCCAGTTAATAACCAAAGGTTCAAGTGAAGGGAATTTAATACTTTAAGTGTGCAATTAAAAGGAAGCACTGAAACTTAAGATTCAAATTAGCAGCCAATCTGATGCCAACAAAAACAGCAGCAACAGCAAAAAAGAATTATGTGCAAGAAGAGAACAAATATAAAAAGTATTTGTTCAAGTCATTTTATAAGTAACTCAGTGTGAAGGAAGCAAAGTTGAGCAGAATTTAAAAAACTGATTGACAGACTGGTTGATATGCCAACTCATTCTTCACGGGACATGTAAGGATTAACTGTACAGAAGTGAACACAGGACTGAAGAGATAGAAAATGAAACACACAAACAAATGACCACCTGAGAATAGCACCTGAACAAATGCTTAGTTATTCAAGCAAAACAAAATTATCATTTTTAATGTAATATCATTCAAGCATGCATAGAAGACTTTTTTCACACACACACACACATTATATATATATATATATATATATATATATATATATAAAAAATTAAAAAAAATTTTGTTAAGAAAAAAAGGGAAAAATAACATGAGAACACAAGAGATTAGCAGCAAGCGGTTTGTGTTAAACTGAGAGCCATCTGGAGGGGAAAAGAAGAGCTGAGTGGGACTAGAGACTTCATGGGATTGGCACGTGTTTTGTCTATCTTACAAATAATTTCTGCATCCAAATCAAATTCTCAAATCAATTCTTTATCAATTAACCCTAATGTTAAATTTAATTTACAGTCAACACTCTTTAAGATTCATTAATGCTCTACAAATGTAGTGTTATTGTTAAATTCAAAAGATTATTATTTGCTCACCTAAATGTTTGCATTCTTGTTCCCAGACTTTCTTTTTTAGTATTGTTGTAAACTACAGGCTTCAATAATTATAAAATATTATCCTTTTAGTTATCTTGCCAAATCAACCAGAGTTTAAGAAATTTTGTTTCTAAATTTGGTTTACAACTAGAAAGAAAATAAAGCTATATCTTGGCAAAATATATTGTCAGAATATTTTTTTGTTGATTTTTAAATTAATCTTTCAGTTTAATGTGTATTTGTTATTCATATACAAGGCAACCTAGAATACACACAACTTATATATATATATATATATGAGGCAAAATATTTTTTCACATTTTTACAACTTTTGACCATTCAGTATTTGATTAAAAAAGAGGAGAATATATTATCCAATGTGAGGAAATATCTACTGCATGAATAGTTTTTCTTTTAAATCTTATAAACATGAATTCAACTGTTTTCATTTGTTTTAAATATTGGCATTCAAGTGATTTTTGAACTTTATATTTTCAGCTTTTATTATAGTTTAGTCAACATTATTTTTATCTAAATTTGACAACTTGAATATGAAATTAAAATAGTCCACAATAAGCAATTTAAAAAAATTTTCTTCCTTATTTGTGTATTTATTATGCCTTCTTTATATTTTAAAAAATAACCTTACTATATATGTAGTACTGTTGATATAACAAAAATCCAATCATATGTTCAATAGAAAACTGCAGATAAGGTCCAATTGAATTATAATTTGAGATCCTAGTGAGAGTCAGATATGAGGAGTTGCTGAGAAATTCTTAACTAAGGAGCCCACACTTATTAAAAAATAAAATAAAATAAAATAAAACAAAAATCTGTTATCTAGTCAGATTATAAGAACCAAGAACTTTTCAGCACCCCCATCATAATATATATTAGGTGTGCATAAGTTCCCAGCTCCATCTCATTTGAATACACAGTTTTATGTGTTCTATATTCAATATTCAGTTATCCTATGTGGCGTTAAGGAATGGTGGTGAACAAGAACATGCAACATAGAATGTTGTTGCTTTTCAAATTGTGCAAGAGAATAACACACGTGGAGATGATTGATGAAGCCTATGAAGATGGTTTACTTGGAAGCAAAATCAATGATTTGCAAAGTTCAAGGAAGGTGAATTTGATTTGGAGGATAAATCACATTGTCATAGACCACAAAAACTTGAAAGTAGTGACTTGCAAGCTCTTTTGGGTGATAAACACAGCCAATGCTGAAATCGGCTAAGAAACTCGGTGTTAATCAATCAACAGTTATAAGCCGTTTGCAAATTATTGGGAAGACAGAAAATGAAGGGAACTGTTTTCTACATGAATTGTTAGAATAAAGAATTGAATAGTCTTAACATCTGCATTTCATTTCTTGCCAGATATGAAAATAATATCTTATTTTGTGGAAGATAATAGTGATTGCCATCAACCGCATCAAAAATAACAAAACCTGGTAAAACTGTTTCTTCCCAGCTTTATTTTACAACTTGTGTGCTGCAATTTACAACACAAGGAAAGGTAGAAAGACTGCATGACTATTAACATGCCCACCCCTACCCTGCCACAAAAAATTCATAATGGACTTGGGTTGGAAATTCTCCCTAATGTAATATATTCACCTAACTTGGCACCATCAGATTATTGTTTTGCTCAATATAGCATTCTTTATCTGGTGAAAAATTTAAAGATGTCTTTGATGCACAAAATTTGACAACTTTATTACATTGAAACCAGTAATTTTTATGAAAATGGATTTCAGAAAGTTTTCGAATATTGGGGGGATGTCACAGATAGTCAAGGAAAGTATTCTAATGATCAATATCTGTACTAGTTATTAACAGGCTTACACACACACACACACACATATATATATATGCGCATGCATATTGATATACTTCATATTAATTATACATTAGTTAACCCTTAAACTCTCTCATAATACACAGGATCAAACCTGACCATAACTTTGATTTTATAAATGTCACCCTAATTAAAAAGAACATCATTCATTACACAGGAAATACTTTGTGGGAATCCTAACAAATTGTTTTACCATCTATAAACACATGTCAAACACACTATATTAAATCACCAACTTTTATAAAATCCATACTTAAAGAATCTAAAGTATTAGTTAAAGTAATGCAAAGAAACATTTCCTTAATTAGTGATGAATTGTTCTTCAGTCTCAGAAATCATACTGTGTTTATTATTATTAGAGGGACAAACTATTTTAGCATGTTTTTAATATAAATTGTTTTACTCTTACTATAAAATCATTCATTTATTATGTTCCCATTTATTATGTTCCCATTATGCAAAAAAATTATTGAAGTTATTTGTTGTTTACTTTTCTGCAATTCAAAATTTTGCCACTTCCCATTCTAATATTTCTGTGAGATTTTAAAACCTACCCTCATCACTCTCAGTTAAACCAGTGAGTAGTTCCATCTACCATTATGAATTTAACCCATTAATGACCACTACAATATGGAAAGTTATAGTTAATACCAGATTTTGAATATTATTGTTGCCTTAATTTATAAAGACATAATTAATGCAATTTTTTATATTTATAATACCAGTTTTTACTGTGGCCATTAAGGGATTAAGAATCAAATACTGTAGCATCATGTTTTTAATTTTATAAAATTACAATAGTTAACAAACCTGTTATACTTAATTTAATTTCATTTTATCATATAAACCCAAAGTTATATTTTAAAAAAGTAAATTATTTTAATAGCTTCCTGTAACAATACAGTTATATCACAAGTTTATCATATTTTGAATAAGATTAATAAACTGAAACATATAATTTATATTAAGAAAATGCTTTTTAAAAATCCACATAAATAGTGCCAATAAATCTTATTTATGTAGAAAATACTTATCGACAATTTTGCAACACCAAAAAATTGTTTCCTACATTAAATACATAAAAAGATACATTCAATTACCAAGTAATTACAATTAATTATTTTCTACGATTCTTTACTCTTATCACTAATCAATTGCAACTCAACTCTCTCAATTCTCAGAATTCAGGCTTTTTAACAACAAATAACATTTCATATATTATTCACTTAATAGTTTATATGATAGCTATTTTTAGGTCACTGTTATTCTATTCTAGGATATATCAATCTATCGTTTAAAAATGGACATTGGTTTTTACCAAAGCATCTCTCTGTATATTTTTTAAAATTTCAAGTGGATTAAACAGTTTATTAATACCTAAATAAAATTATATTTGAATTAAAGACAAAAGTAGAATTTAAAAACAAAAAGTAAAATTTATTAAAAATTAGATCTTTAATGTATTCAAAGAAATGAAATTAATGATTTTATAAGTAATTCTCTAGCACGGGTTACTGTAATACATGCACATATGAGGGCACAGAGAGAAGCACTTACAATAATAGCCAACCCATGGAAGCCTCGGACCCTGAACATTCTTTACAGTCAGGAAACCATGGTGCACAGCAGTTTTTAAAGAAGGTCAATCATCTTTGAAAAAGAGAAATGTTTCTTTGGATAGAAACTATAAAGAAAACTTACCATTAAATCTTGCCTTTGCTAAACGTCATGTGAAAACAAAGTTGGAGGAAAAAAGACACATTAGGATCAAATTCCATACAAAAACAAATCAAAAAACAAAAAGGTGACAAAGATGGATGAGAGAAGAATGAAAAAATACAAATGGATTCTTCCTGTAGAACATTTATGGACAGATTGAGAGAAATTTAAAAAAAAAAATTCAACCAAGAAAAAGAATAAGTCATAAACTGACAACTCATTTGATTGAATTTTTTCTTCTTACATAATAAAAATGCAAACAAATCATTCCTTGATTTATTTTATATTAAGGCTATTTTTCAACTTAGATAACATCAACATTTATTTATAAGAAATGCATGTCAAAAGTATATGCCATAATTTAGAAAATAGAAGACTGAAAATTATTCAGGAAGCATTAAAAAATATTTTTTAAATCATTCAGAAAGTCATATATTGATTTATTTTTGAGAGTTAGAGAATAAAAAAAATTTAACTATATTTTTCTTATGAAAATTTGTGAATACCTATTTTAGTCCAATATTTTCTATTTCACTAAAAATCTATTAAAAGAAGAGTATGATCTAAAATCAACCATAAAATAAATTATTGTCTGAAGTTTTGAGAGATTGAAGAAAATTCTAATGAATGCATTATATAATTCCATCTCTATTTCAGTAGGTAATGAGAATTTTTATGTCAGGACAGATATAATTAACTAAAAGACTGTATGAGAAATGTTTAATTTTCATCAAGAACCAAACATTGTATACATTTCCACAACAATATGTCTTCAGTTATAAGGTAAAAACTTCCATAAGTCAGAATAATTTAAGCTGATCTATTCTAAAACAATATGAACTTTACAAATTAAAAACACTCCAATTTTGAGTACCTCATTGAAAATAATAAATTAACTGCATATATCTGATTCCTCTAAATTTAACTTTTAGTATAAACAGAAAACCTTAAATGCTTTCTCTTTTTGAGAAAATACGTTTTTAATGAATGCAAACAAAAAGTAACATAATTTTGTTTTGCTTTTCTGTATTTTATATTGGTAAGGTTGTGAGACTAATAAATTAGTTACTGTCATGGAGTTTCCAAATTCACATAAAAGTAATCCAAGAAAATAAAGACAAATAAGGAAAATATACTAATATATTTAATAATATTAAAAAACTATTTGCCTGTTTTTGGTAAACTAAATTTTGATTTTAATTAATTTGTGAAAGTAGAGTATTACAGGGATTAAAAAAATGTCATTTCATAAAAAAAAAAAACTGATATTAATCCAGATTGGAAAACAGAATTTACACAAATAAAAAAAAAATAAAACAAGCTAGAAGCAATACCTCTCAATGAAGAATAAAATTACCTGGCATTTTGGTGATTTATAACAAAATATTAATCTGTTGAAGTCTCAAAAACTAAATTAGAGGAAAAAAATAAAAATTAAGAAATAGCAGAAAATGGACAGAGTACTTCTAAAAGTCTATGATGTCTGACATATAGAACTTTGACAGAGGAATAAATAACAGAATTGTAGTCTACCTATGTGACAGATACCAGATTCAAAGAAAAGTATTTTTCATAGTTGCATTTGTGGTCATTCAATCATTCAACACCCACAAATAGCCATAGTAATCTGTTTTGAATCTCTCAAGACAAATCAATCACCAATTTCCAAGTCCTGAAGAGTTGTTATTAAAAAGACATTTAGTTTCAAAAGTTTAATACCTGTGTTGAGTGTAAAATGCAGCATGAGAAGTAAAATAACAGTTTTAGTGAAAAAGAAGTACAAAGTTATTACAATGGAAAAATTGAATATTTAAATAATTGAGTCCATTGATTTTCTTAAATAATATTAACTATTTTTCTTTGAGTGTTTCATAGCTTGATGCCTGTGAAGGATTAAAAAATGGACAAAGAAAATTAAAAATTCTCAGATTTGTACAAAAAGTGAACATAGAATATAATATCAAAGAAATAAAAAAAAAATTGATGTCAAATTCACCTTCTTTGATAGCAGCATCTCGAGGCATAGTGGTATTACGCAGTGAACTTTTGCCATCTTTTTTGTGACTAAAGTTGGGTAATGATGATGAGCTGCAAAGTCAGGACCAAAATGTATGAAATATACAAGAAAAAACTTTACAAAAAGGAAAGAGGAGAAGGAAATATAAGATTATCTTGGTTTAAAAACATTTTTACTAAAATATTTTAATCTTTGAAACTATTTTCTTTTGAGAAAATTATTTAAAAAGGTGATGTAACTCAACATTTTAAATAAAAATATAGTTTGCTTTAAAAACTCAAGAGCATAGCATGATGCCAGTCATCTTCAATTTGTTTAACTTTATCTCACTACACAAGGACAGAAGAGAGCAAGAGAATTTAAAAACCATTTATACACATGAATGTTAGCCAATAGCAATAGATAAGTAACTTTTAAAAATAAATATATATTGCATTCTAAAATCCCCCAAATTAAATATATTTGTTATCTTTAGTTTTGAAGAAAAAATGTAGGTATAATTATACCTACATTTTTTCTTCTTTGAATTAGAGCAAAATTTATCAGTCTATACTAAATAAAAACATACTCACCGTGTGAAAGATGGCCCAGGGCGACTGATACCACCACTTGCAGCAATGGCTTCTGTTTGACACCGTCCACTGAGGAAAAGATTAGCTATATATTAAAAAGATCTTCATATTTTCCTCTTATTAAATTCTATAACACTGCACAAGAAGATAGATTTAATCAGATCAATGCTTCCATATTTTTGCTTTTAACCAAATTTTTCAATATATTTTTGTAATAATAAATATATTTGATTATTTATTATATTAAACTGATTCTTTAAAATACTGGGTTAAAGGTCCATAGTTCACACTCTAATGTTAAACAAAAGTAATTAAGGAAACATGGGACATGATAACCAGAAACAAACAAGGAGAAAGTAAAAGCTGAACATTATCATATATGTTAAAAAATTAAAAAATATGAGAAAAAGTGGGTTGTAATTTTAAATAGCTAAAATTGTATTCAGTTTACTGAAAGTGTCAAAAATGATCTTGCTTGATGTAATTTGAATAGATACTTAATTCTCTGCAGGCTGATATCCATGAAGCTTTATTCCTTTTTTTTTTTTTATAAAGCAATGAGAGAATGTTTTGGCAAGAATAAAAACTAAAAGTAGACTCATATTTGTGTTTGATTCTTCTGCATACTTAAAAAAAAGAAATGAAAATATCAAAGTTTCCATTCTGATATTGAGCAGATAATAGTTGTTATATCATCAGCAGCAACTATAGTCTACTGCTGTGCTAGACAAAGACATTTTCTACTTCTCTGACAACAATGTGTATTATTCTATCATATTTTACCAGCATTTTATTGCTCTATCTTTTGCTTGATATTTTCCTACTGCATCTGCTATCTATTAGTTAGCATTCAATCAACTTTTACTCTATCTTTTTATCTTTTCTTCAATTGCCACTTAATCAATTTTAACATCTCTTCATGTTATACGACTTGAATCAAGATCTCTTTCACAAACACATTTCACTAGACATGTCAGTCAGATGTGAGTGATAAGATAGCAAAACTCAAAATAAAAAAAATTGCCTAAAATACAATAGCTAATCACAAACACTGCCAAACCCCCCCAAAAAAAAAACAGGGATCCTACACATGTTAAACAACAAATATAAAAACACACAACTTGCTGACAACAGGTAATTTGGCCCAATAGCTCAATCTCGTCACACAACTGTCGGTCCATCCATATACCTCACTGGTGTCAATTTCAATCCTGATGATAGAGGATCAATTCCACCAATGACACACCACCTGTGCTACCACAAAGCTTCATTCTCTCCTGACACCAACTATGACCTTGATCAACCAATACAACAAATCTATCAACTCCTGTCTTATTCACCTTCCTTACCAACAGCAACTAAAGAACCACATATCAACATTATATATATATATATATATATATATATATATATATATATATATATATATATTCTGAAAATTGATCAATACATGTTGTTGAAATTTTAATCTTTGTTCTTTCCTTTACAACCATACATTCATTATAACATTTCTCCTTATTTTCTGGTTCATGTCATCTTTTTTGTCATTGCCCTTTCCATTGATTTTTGTGCATTTGTACATTTCTTTTCAACATTATCACAAATCCTGTGTCTTGTGTAGTCATGTTAAAAGGAGGAAGAATGCCAGTGGGCCTTCTGCTTTCATATTCAATAGAAACTGAAGAAAACTGAACTGACCTGCTGGATAAGCCTCCTGAATTGAATGATTAAAACCACATCTGCAGACACTTCTAGCAAAAAGGCCTCAGTAAATGGTAATAACTTCCATAATAATCTCAGTACACACATGATAGTATACATTAAGAGAGTTCAATTTCAGAAATGTCCCTCTATCTGGCACCCACTATCATATTTTGTTCAAACACTGATAATTCACATTACCTTGCCATGAGTAACCAAGCCAATGTTCATTCATACCCACCAGATGTCTGGGCACTACTGATGTAGGTCTGAGTATTTTGATGATGTCAAAGTATGGTGGCATCACCTATCATTACATTTACATATTGTTATCCTATGACTTGGCACATGAGTGTAACATACATAATTTTTTTTTTTTTTTTCATTCAATGAGTCTCTTGTTTGTATCTATTATTAAGTAACAAATCCTAAAACTTGTTTTATTTCTTTTTGAGAATTCTTTTGTTTCTTTCAATTTTAAAGTTAAATTTGGCTATAATCCATCATTTATGATCACTTTGCTTATGGCAGTTTAGAAATGGTAGTTCTACACAGGTGACACTAAGTTATTTTCATGGGAATAGTTATAAGATTATTTTTGACCAATCATTAAGCTAGCATATATATATATATATATATATATATATATATATATATATATATATATATATGCACACACACACAGTGGGTGCAATGGATAAAGTGCCATCTAAATTATGCAAAAATGAAAATAATACTGACACCTCATTTTAACAGATATATTTACCAATGTACACAAAAATATCTTGAAATAAGAAAAAGTAAATTTATTCAATAAAATCACCGTTGGCTTCAATCATGGTCCCCAGACAACTTTGGAATCTACAGCGACTCTTCTGCAGAGTCTCTTTGTTTAAGTTGGTGAATACTGCCATAATCCTTGCCTTCAGTTCATCTTTAGTATTACAAGAAATTTTGTTGGTCTCTAGTCAACTGCATCACACACATAATAATCAAGGGGATTGCAGTTTGGGCAGTTAGGTGGTCAGATGTAAGGGGTGATGTGGTCATAGAAATTATTTGACAGCCATAATTGCACTTCCCTGTTTATGTGACATGGTGCAGAGTCTTGTTGCCAGACATAGAATCTTCCAGCAGGCACTCTCTTGACCTAGGACAGCACTACTTCCTCAATGCACAACATAGGCCTCCATGTTGAGTCTGAGGCCCTTATCAACAATTTGGGGAGTTCTTTACTTAACTGAATGATCAAAGCGAGTTTTCCGAGCTGCCATACATCATAATCACCATTAGACTCAGCCAACTCTGCCAAGCAGTACAGCATGCTATTACCAAATTTCTGGCAGAGTGAATTGCGTCATGGGGCTCTTTTTCTCACAGAGGGTGCCCAACTGACCATACTATACTGTGGAGTTGACAAAATCAAAAGCAAACAATGTGTATACGTGAAATTAAAAATATAAAATGGCAACAATTTACGCATTGCACCTTTTATAGGCTACACAGAGAGAATAGAGACTATCTTGGAGAGAAGGTGATCAAAGTGAAAAAAGTGAATCCAGCAGGAGTTTAACAGTGGTAGCAGAGTATAGTTGCATCATAGCTTTAAAATTGAACCCCCTACTTTTTGACAGTTCAGAGTTTGTTGAATGTGGAGATAGAAATGTGAGCAGAAGTCACAGAATTAGCAAAAGATAAGGTGGGAATTATAATAGTCTTATTACTACCAGAAAATGACTGAACAGCAATAAGGCAAAAATTGATAGAACAAGTAAAAATAGAGGAACTAAGGAATGATGAAGGTTTAAAACCTTAATTGCAGTGATGGAGAAAAAACTGGGAAAAGATGACATGGAAGACAATTTGGAAAAATATAAAGAATTCAAAAACTGCAGAAGAGATCAGGATCAGAATGTTGGTGATTACATTCATGAATTTGAACAAAAATACATGATTCTAAAGGAATAAGGCTACCAGAGGATGTCCTTTGTTTTGAATTCTGAGCAATGCCAACATTACAAAACCAGAAAAAGTGTTGATTTTATCAGGCATAAATTTTGAAAAATCAGAATTTATTTGACCAAGCAAATAAATCTCTGAAAAGGAGACTTTGCTTCAAATAGTGATATGTCTGGTGTCACTGCAGTGATAAAATTATAGCCAGCATTTCTTACATCTCAGGAAGCCAGGCTCACAAACAACACTAGGTATTCAAGAAGTTGTGGTGGACCTCATGGATGAGGATTCAGAGGAGCCTCTAATTACAACATTCACAAAATGATGACAGATCCATGAAGGAAAATGGATATAATAAGCCTATCAATCCAAATGAACATGATGGCCATCCACTGAGATGCCATGGGTGTGAATTTTATCGTCACTTTGTGAGAACATATACATATTCCTATAAAAATGTTCAAACAACCCAGCAGATAAACTTTTCTGAGAAAGCAAAAAGGTGGTACTGTTCAGAGGATACAACAAAAATGAGATTGAATGTCATAGTAAAGAAACAATTAACTGTGCAATCTTTGATACCATTAATACTGCCTGTACTTCAACTGTGTGTAGTACAAGGTGGCTACAAACAAGATGGGAGCAACAAGTAAAAGTATTTTTCAGGATAATAGAATTGATTTTGTGTGACATGGGGGAACATATCTATAAACAGGCTTGTTAAAGACAACCCTCATTCAGAAGATTGCACTTCTGATGAAAAAAGTGAAAATGGCAAGCAGACCAACTGTCTACAATCAAATGAAGTCACCACTGATAATACAGAACAGCTAACAGAAATGACAGGTGATAAAGCAAAAGTGAACTATGTTCCTGATAATCCTATTCAAATTGAGACAGAGCAACCATAACAGCCAGAAGATAGATTTCTTAAACAGCTAGATCCTCTTAAACAATAAACAGGTTTTTGGAATGCAAAGTTTCCTTAAAAGAGGATGATCAAATTGAAAACAAAATTCAAGAGAATGATTAATGGACACTAGCATCTATATTAAGAAAAGCTGGAAAGGCAAACACAGCAACTTAGTACTGGTAATATGTTGAAGAAAATGCAACAGGAGTCAGAAATGGTCTGAATCTGCAAAAGTTGAGTGACTGACTGGAGAAAGATAGATTAAGTCCCACAACACAAATGACAACTGTATTTGAACATATGTATTATTATTAATATCTTTACATATCTTTAAGAATTTTGAGCATAACTAGTGAATCCAGTGATAAATTACATGAACAACATAACTAGCTCTATTTTTGTTGAAACCAAAAAGAAAAAAAAGCATTAAAAAATTTCTACTGTTATATGTAATTTCCATAACTATAGCTAATTTTTTTAACAGACAAAACAACATACTTATGGGAAAAAATTAGTGCAAGTCTCAACTTTTACCTGTATCCTACAGGCCAAATGTTCCATTTTTATATAATTTTATGTTCCTTATTTTTATTTGTTTGAAAATTTTGCAAATTAAAACTGAGTTGTAGAAAATCCTCAACACCAAGAAATATAGTAATTATGCAATACAACTGTGAAAGACAATTATAATTTTAACCAATTGCTAACATATAATAAAAATTTAGGAAATTTATTATATTACTGCTTTATTTGAAGAGGGTATCAGATATGGTGATCACTGAATGTCAATGAACTCAATGTTACCATGATTATCCGCATCACACAGACATTAACAGAATTCAAATGGCACACAGAAACAAGTGTGTATCACAATAGATAGTCACTCAATGAGTACAAGTACCTCATCCATTGCTTTGATCCACCCCACCTTGTTAAAGTATATAGCCCTTTACCCTCATGTCCGTGGCCACTTGCAACTTTACAGACAAATACAACAGAGTAAGGGGTGATACCCAAAAATTACATTTTGAATTTTTGTTTAATATGTTTATTCTAATTTGAAAAAAAAAAAAAAAAAAAAGGGTCAAAAATTAGAAGTTGCAATTTAAACTGAATAGTGCAAAAAAGTTTTATACCAGTGAAAAAAACAAACAAAACAAGACAAGACAATTTCTTATATAGCAATCTGTTTTTTAGCTTTTGGTCTGCTACCTAGAAAAAGATTTAGTTTCAGGTGACCACACCTAATAATCCAATCATGATGAGAGAATCAACAAATACCTGAAACGAAACTTGGAGCCTCGAGTAAGAAGGCTGCCTCCAGATCGTACTTTTGGAGCATTTATTGAAGAAGAGAGCCTGAAATAAAAAAAAAACGTGTTTAAAATTTATTAAAATGAATGTTTAATACAAATTGCATTTTTAAATTAAATAACCAATTTGATATCAATCAAAGAAATCAATATTCAAAAATATTCTGCTTTCTTTGTTTCATTCTAATCTGTAAATTTAATCAAATCAAGCCTTTTATAATAGTCTTATGTGTAGTGTTTGATTAATTCTCTTGTTTTATAGACAGTATAAATCTTAAGTTTATACCATCTTCGTCACAAAGAATCTCATATTTTTGTGTACAATTTTAAATAATTTACTTTGAATACAAATTGCAACATGATTTTTAAGTCTATATTTTGTTAATATAAAATATTTTGAGGCAGCTGAATTGACTTCAAATTTAACATATCAGGTTAAAGTCTATAATTACTTGATTATATCATATCATATAAAAATACATACTAAATTATGCATGTAATCAGAATCATAAAACGTTGTACAAGGAGTCAGATGCTTACGTAAAGAAAAACTGTTGTTCAACAGCACATCGCCACAGGTACTTACAGGCACTGGTAGTTGGGCATTTGTAACCAATTGGTTGTTGTTTCTGAAATAATGGGGGAGAAAAAAAATTGAGAAATAAATAAATGGTCAATTTTTTTTTATTTGGTTCCCTGTTTCTGATCTGGATCAATTTATCATGATAAAAATTTCTCTGATGATAATGCTAAAAAGAAAAAAAATGTGTGTCACAAGCTAATAACTTAGAAAATATAAACAAAAGTGTACCAGAAAGGTTTTCCATCCAACCAAAATGGGATTTGAAAAATATACTGATGTTTAGACATTTGTTTAGATTTTTGGAAGTAGGTTAGGTCAGCATCTTTTCAGTATGTGTGTGTGTGTGTGTTACATCACTATTATATGACAAGCATCCATGATAAAATTCTATTTCATTTTAAAAAAGAAAATGTGGAGGCTTCATTGGTAATGATCACAGCAATCATAGAAATACAAGCTCAGTATCTGTCTATATTTCTGAGATGAAGTATTATGTACACTATTTACATTATTTGAACTATTGTCCTCATCTTTGTTGCCATATTTATTACAACGTTTCAGCCATGGGTCCTGTCACTGGATCTAACCAACGCCAAAGAGTGTGAATTCAATACCCGGTTAAGGCAGTGGAGAACTTGGAGAGGGGAATTAACAACTGATAACTGACATGCATTAAACATGGCACGTGGAACTAGAACAGTCTACCCCAGTGACCAAAATAAAGGGTTCAGTTCAACATTCCAACCACCTGACGACGGCTGGAGCATACAACGGCCAAAACGTAATAAATATGGTGACAAAGATGAGGACAATGGTCCGAATAATGTAAATCGTGTAAATACAAGCTCCCATTTAAATGTGATAAAGAATAAAATCATAGAATCATTGAAATACTGTTGCCTTGACTAAGTAAAATACACTTTGTAGTCAATGGCTATGATGCAGAACCAAAATGTAAAGTGTATAGTATTAAAACAATAGATTCAACCTGTATTGCCTATATAAATCAATATATTTGAAACATCATAGTACTAAAAGTTGCATGTTAATTTTACATGAACTTTCAAATCAGTTTAGAGATTTCAATGTGAGATTTCCTTTTAATTAGATATAGAAGTTTAATACATTTAAATCAATTTTGTTGAAAATCAGATAGATTTTACAATGCTCGAAAATTTCAAATTAGATCTAATGATTTTGGTAAAAGAAAACACTTTTCTAGAAAATAGTAAATAGTTGAAAATATTTCCTTATTTTATTAACATAAAAGAAATTATCCCTAATTTCTATTAATTAAACTGAAGTGCCAAAAACTTCAAAACAAAAGCTTTTACCCTCTTCCACTTGTAGAAATAAACTTAGCTGAATAACATATATGTGGCCTAATTGAACAGTGTAGTTAGGGAAGCCTGGGATGGGATATGGATAAGTTTGATTGAAGAATTATTCTTAGATCCAGAAAGATGAGGTACTATCTTCAAGGTGGTAACTATTCTAGGTTTTGCTCAGGCATAGTAAAATATGTGAATTTCAGACTGACGTCAGTGGCACATAAAGGCACCCTTGTTGGTGCCTCCATATGCCACTGATGTAAGAAAGGAAATACAGGTGATTGATAAGGATGTCAACCAATGCATTCTGCCCCCAAAACTGCTGCTCTAATCTCTGAATGGATCCTGTCTAGAATGGAGTATTTTATAACCCTCAACTCCCCCCCAAAAATTCCAGCAAAAACCAGTTTTTAATTACCTGAAAAAAATCTTAATTGAAACTGCTCTAAATCAATAAGATATGCAGCTATTAAAAATCTTTATCAATTCATATTGTTAACTTTAGTTAATTCTTGTCTTTCTTTAGTAAATTTGGTTTATTCTTTTAGACTCAAAAAGAAAATGTAAAGTTTCAAATGAGTTGTCAATCATGAGTATTATTCTATGCTAAAAGATAGAAACAAAATCTCCTCATTACCAGTCAACCTGATATTCTTCTCATAATGGGGAAAAAAATAAAGGAAAAGGCAGTAATCATGCATATACAAACATTATACTCCCACCCCATGAAGAAAAACAAAAAAAAGCATTGAGACTATGCTTAAAAAGATATCATAATTAAACAGGTAAAACAAAGTAAATGTATATAAAATTAAAATAGAATAATGGAAAAAAGCCCCAATTAAGGAAGCATAAAAACAATAAAAATCTCATTTTAGCAAAATTGCAGTGAATTTGATCTTGTTTTTTATCATTATGCAACAAAATTCCTCCACCATACAAACCACCACCACCACCATTAAAGCCAGCAATATATAAGCTTTTTTTTAAGAAGCCATCAATAAGCAAAGAATTTTTTTATCTGTAATAAAACCATTTTGCAAAAATTGAAGGAAAAAAAAAGACACTCATGTGTAAGATTTGTTAGTATTATGTCACCAAAACAGTATAATTTGATCAACTTTAAAACAAATTATTTCATTAGATTTGGTTATTTTTAATAGAAAGTATATATTTTCAAGATATTAAATCACAATATCTTGATAGTAATTTCTGTCCCAAAATTAATTTTTAACTATTTTTAGGTTCATAAAATTGAGAAGTATTTATTTTTAGGTTTTGTATTCATTTTGCTGAAGGAAACTGAAGTTTTCATAAATTTCTTAAGTTTTATATGTCAATAAATGACCAAAAGCAAGCTACAAAGTTATCTGCTTTTAATATTTTATTGATAAAACATCACTTTTTCAAGGTACTTAAATCCCTGAACAAGTGATGTTTTATCAATATAATATTTAAAGCAAATAACTTTTCTGAGTTGAATGAATATAAGAAATTTCAATCTGTTCTTTATAAAAACTTTTAAGTTCTTATAAGGAACAGATTGAAATTTCTTATATTCATTCATCCTCATTCCACAAATGATTTATCAAGGTAGATAAAAGAAAATTAAAGATATGTTGATATTAAAAACAAAACAAGTTATACACAAATGAATAAAGACATATTACAATTAAAAAATATTTAGTAGTATGTTTAATCCATGATATATACACAATAGCCAAATCATATGAAATGCAAAGAGAATTCTATTATTAAAAGTATGGTAAACTAGATGAGAGAATGGATCAACTCAAATCTATGTTGCTCATTTATAGATTAAGTAAACTGATAAAAGATTTCAGTTGGATCAAGAACTTAATTCAGTTTGATAGAAGTAACCCCAAATAGCAGTAAATTTATGTTAAAAATAAAATATCAAGCAAATTAAAAAATTAAAAAAAATAAAAAATTGACTGTATAATACTGTAAAAAGGAACTATATTAAGACATGAAAAATCTTACACAGACACACATATGCAAAAATCAGATTACAATCCGGTACCATATAAGTAGTCAAATGTAATTGCTAATAAATTTACTTATGAAGTTGTAGAATACACACACACACACACACACACACAGTGTGTGATGATAAATTGTTGCCATTTTATATTTTTAATTTCACACATGTACATTGTATGTTTTTAATTTTGTTAACTGCACAGTATAGTAGGGTCAGTTGGGCACCGTCTGTGAGAAAAAGAGCACCATGACACAATTCATTCCACCAGAAATTTGGAAATGGCATACTGTATTGCTTCGCATTCATGCAGAAAGCTCCAGTAAAAACATTTCAGAGTGTTTGGGGGTCAATCTGAGGAGAGTGGAGAGAAATTGGAAAAGGTTGGACAAGTCTAATGTTGATTACAAGGGTGTTTGGAGTAATTACTAGTGATGGTGATGTTATCCCCTCATTCATCTTCTTGGGTCTTCAGACTCAACACAGAGGCCAACATCAAGTGTCTTGAGGAAGTAGTGTTGCCCTGGGTCAAGAGGGTGGCTGCTGGAAGAACCTATGTCTGGCAACAGGACTCTGCACCATTCCACACATGCATGAGAACCCAGTCATGGCTGTCAGACAATTTCTGTGACCATATCACCCCTTACATCTGGCAACCTAATTCTCCCCAGACTGCAACCACCTTGATTATTATGTGTGGGGTAGAGTTGAGAGAGAGAGAGAGAGACCACCAAAACTTCCTGGCAGTATTCACAAACTTAAACAAGGAGACCATCCAGAAGAGTTGCAGGAGATTCCAAGGTTGTCTGGAGGCCGTGGTGGAAGCCAATAGCAATTTTATTGAATAAATACTATAGAGTATAGTATTTCAAGATATTTTTGTGTCATTTTTGGTAAATATATCTGTTAAAATGATATGTCAGTTTTATTTTGGCTTTGCATAATTTAGATGAAAATTTATCCATCACACCCTTTATATATTTTGAATAAAAACAGATTACTTTAAGGTTCCATGTAATAAGTTATTTCACCACAACCCTTTTAAAGGGCTCTGAATCATCAGACTTTACTTCCAAAAGTTGAAATGAAAAATGAAAAGAAACTTACACATTTTTGACGGACTGTGCCAAGCATATTAATTAACGAAGTGAGGAAGTGAGAGAAGAAGACCGACTTAAAGGGGAAGATACAGTTAACAGTAAAATAATAAATCATGTCCCTGAGATCAGGATTCACTCAAATTCTTAGATGCTGTTATTTCGCATTACTTTAAAGGGTATATTTGGGGGTTAAAGTTTGATATAAATCTAAATGTCTAAAAAATCTACGAAGAATTTAATTTGAAGTTTGTTGGAGTTTTGGGTATTTTCTATGAAGTAGACGATTGGAAAAATTCATAGAAAGTACATTGAAAGAATAATCCATTTTATATCTAGTAATCCTTTTTATTTTCCTAAACTTTTTTCTTATAGCTTGTTAAGTTGACATCTATTTGTTTAATTCTTGTTCATAAATTAAATTTGTGACACAAGTTTAATTTATGAACAAGAATCAAACGAATAGATATCAACTAAATAATCAACAAGAAAAAAGTATATGTACGGATATATAGAATATTGTAAAAGAAGAACCTAATTTTCTGTTAGTAATCTTTTATCCAATTCTCTCCTCTAATATTCTCCAATTGGAAGTGAGTTTAAATAAATAATACGG